TGGGGGAACTTGCTCTCTGCAGGAGACCATGGGAACTTGCTCTCTGTAGGAGACCGTGGGAACTTGCTCTCTGTAGGAGACCGTGGGAACTTGCTCTCTGTAGGGAGCCTGGGAACTTGCTCTCTGTGAGAGCGTGGGAACTTGCTCTCTTAGGGAGACCGTGGGGAACTGCTCTCTGTAGGAGACGTGGAACTGCTCTCTGTAGGGAGACCGTGGGACAGTGTGGGAGATGGTGGGACTTGCTCTCTGCAGGAGACCGTGGGAATTGCTCTCTGTAGGAGACCGTGGGAACTTGCTCTCTGCAGGAGACCGTGGGAACTTGCCCTCTGTAGGAGACCGTGGAACTTGATCTCTGTAGGAGACCGTGGGAACTTGCTCTGTAGGAGACCGTGGGAACTTGCTCCCAGTAGGAGACCGTTAGAACTCCCTCACCGGAGATCATGGGAACTTGGTGTCTAGGAGATGGTGGGAACTTGTTCTCTGCAGGAGACCGTGGGAACTTGCTCTCTGTAGGAGAGTGGGAACTTGCTCTCTGTAGGAGACCGTGGGAACTTGCTCTCTTTAGGAGAACGTGGGAACTTGCTCTTTAGGAAACCGTGGGAACTTGCTCTCTTTAGGAGAACGTGGGAACTTGCTCTGTAGGAGACCGTGGGAACTTCCTCTTTGTAGGAGACCGTGGGAACTTGCCCTCTGTAGGAGACCGTGGGAACTTGATCTCTGTAGGAGATCGTGGGAACTCGCTCTGTAGGAGACCGTGGGAACTTGCACTCAGTAGGAGACCGTGGGAACTCCCTCACCGGAGATCATGGGGACTTGGTGTCTATAGGAAATGGTGGGAACTTGCTCTCTGTAGGAGACTGTGGGAACTCCCTCACCGGAGATCATGGGAACTTACTCTCTGCAGGAGACCGTGGGTAGTCTGCAGTGCCAAACCAGGTTTTTACTACTCACAACCTCGGAGAGGCTTATTTTGCTCACTATGTGAGCCCTTTATCCTTGTCATCCCCTCTCACTCCCTGGGGGGTTGATGCTTTCCTGCCAATTCCTCCTCCTCCATGTAGGAATTGGTGTTCCTCACCATTGCCTTCTTCTCTATTCCCGGGAAGTTGGTATCCTACCCCATCCTCCTCGCCAGCTTCCAGTTTTTGGTTGTTGGTTTCCTTCCTTCCACTTTTTACTTGCCACTCCTTGTGGGTGGTCTCCAGCATATCACCTTCGGGTGAGCAATTCACTTTGGTAACCTAGCTACCATTGGGAATTCCAGAGTACTCCTTCGGGCACCGTGGTTTGGGGTTCCACGGACAAAAGGTTCGCCTTTTGGACGAGTCGCCCCGGTCCGATCCCAGAGTCGCAGACCTCAACGCGGTGGATCGGTGAACATGAAATATCATACATAGCCAACTCTTAAAGAATTTAGGAAAGTTTCATGAGTACCATGCATTTCCCAATTCTTTAGGAATTAGGACGGTGTCATTTCATGGCCAACGTGCGACTAACTTTTATATATATATATAAATATATATATATATATATATATATTATATATAAAATATATATATATATAATATATATATATATATAAAATCACACGGAAAATGGAAACAACGGAGTACCTTAGCTTTCGTCTTTATTCAAGACATCTTCAGAGGCATATATATATATATATATATATATATATATATATATATATATATATATATATATATATATATATATATATATGTGTGTGTGTGTGTGTGTGTGTGTGTGTGTGTGTGTAAATAATTTTTTTTCCCTGAGTCCAGATTTTACACAATGTGCATTAATTGTCTATTATATGAATAATCCTGTAATGCATTCATACACTAAATGTATGGTTTAAGGTGTGTAAAGCATATGCTTAGAGGAGATATGGTTGAGATCCGCTGTATAGGTATTACATTGTTCTTCAAACCCAAAATTTGGCTTAAGTTTTGACTATTTTTTTTTATTTCAGTTTATGCTGCAACTGTGGCACAAGGCTTAAGAAATTCAGCCAAGCTAGAATTAGGCTTGTCCACTATGTTCATCATTTGCTACACATGGCAAATTGGTGACTGGTTTGTAGTGAATCAATGAGCAGGAAAATGTATAAAGAAACTTTCGCAGTTTTACAGTAAAATGTAAGTGTACAATGATACTGTAAATATGTAATATATATGTCTGTGCTGTATAACCTCTACTCTGAACTGGTTTACTGCCATGTCATGCCTCACGTTAACTATTTGTGTAACCGTTCTTTCTAAATTTCTTAAGTGTAAATAGTTATAAGTTAATTATAGTTACCGTTATTTTATACTTATTTGTTTACTTCACCACATTTACCCTTGTGGAAAACAATAATATTTGAGACATTGTTTTATGTAATATAGAGAAGTTGAGCTGACCATCTCTTATTGAACTCTATCTCCTTACAGTTAAACTAAACAGGTCATCATAATTTTGGCGTCCTTGGCCATTAACAACTTCAATATATAAAAAAGGTTTAAAAATGCATGTAATTAATATTCATTACTGAAACTGGAGACTATTGCTTAATGCCTGTCCACTTTAAATAGATGCCATAGATAAAAATGCTCTTTCAAATGTGATGCTGTACACATTACATGATATAAGGATACAAAACATTAAAGCCAAGATTACTGAAAAAATTATGGTAAAGGTAAGATATAACCAGGGCCGGATTCAGAAGTGGGCAGCTGCCCAGGGGCCTCCACATGTGCGGTAGTAGCTATATCAGGGCTGGTCGACTTGAAACCACATGAATTACTCCAGTCATGTCTCACTTTTGTGTGTGTGTGTTGGGAATTTGTACACTGTCAATAAATATACAGTTAATTAAATATTTCTCAATGTTCTAATTTCCTCAGTATAACTGCATATGGCTTCAAAATTCTCCAAAGTGCTCAAATTTCAAAGTTTTCCCGGGGGGCTTACAGCGCCCCCCGGAACTCCCAGATGTTTAGGCTCGCTTCACTCGCCACCCCACCCTCTTGGGTAGTTATAATGAGGGGGGCCTCCACAAAGAGGCTGCCCATGGGCCTCCACGGGTCTAAATCCGGCACTGGATATAACTTAAATTTAAATTCTCAAGTAACTTAATTTTCTACAACTCCAGAGTGAAAATTTAATCAGGTTCCCCCTTTCGAAAAAAATGAGTTTTCTTCTTTGCAGATAAGAAAATGAGAACTTAAATGATGTCAATTACTTAGTTTAATGGAATGGGTTACCTGAGCTGGAGTCACAGGCGTGAACCTCTTCCAGAAGATCATCTGAGTATCTGAAAGTTATCGTATTTCGTGTCAAAATATGCGAACCCATAGCCGGGAGAGAAGTGCACAGAAGCTCTGGTTGTTACGTGTGGTTCCAAGGGCCGGGAGAAATTTCCTTTACAATGGGCCCGAATTTTTTTTATTCGTATTTATTTCACTTTTTTTTTACACTTTTATTCTCTTCACTGCTGATCGACTCGTTAGCCGCTTGGGCGATCGGTCATGTCTCTGTTACGCACTGTTGGCAAGTACTGGGCATGCACCTGAACCTGCTCCAGTGTTGGTCAAGTCTTGTCTTGAAAGAGCTCACACTCGGTGCCGTCACAACACTTTCTGGTAGATTGTTCCAAGAGTTCACAACTCTCACTCCCAAAAAGTTTGCCCTCACAGTTTTCTGAACTTGCGGCTTCTTCAATCTTGAGCTGTGACCCCTTATGGGGCGAGCGTCCACCAGCTCCAAGTAAGGACACTCGACTGAGTAGTGCCCCTTGAGATGCTTATACACCTCAATTAGGTTGTAGTGTATTCCTCCCCTCCAAGCACCGAACCTCGAATTCCCCAGCCTACGCCTCCAGCGCCGCCCACGGAGCGGGGGTCAACTATCTACCCACGCCTACCCCCCGCCTTATAAGGCCTGACACGCTGTGACCAGCTCTCTTTACTACCCAGTGCCACCAGCAAGCAACACCTTCGCGCCAGCCGTGTGGCTGCCGCTCCCGCCAGCTACCTTGGCGTCCCTCAAGCCGCGTTCCCTCACTCTGGGCACCCTCACCACCCAGCTCTCTCTACTCAATGCTTATTACCATGCTACCTACCCAGCAACAAGCTGCATTGTACATCCAATACAATATGTATACAGTGAGCACATTGTGAGTTTCCTTTCTCCATCCCATCCTGAGTGTGAACCAATATCTCATAACCCTACAAGGTCACCCCTTGCCCGTCTGTAGTATAAGCTAGGCAAGTTCAGGCGCTCCAGTCTTACTTTCCATAAATTTCTATATATTTTCCTCGTTATTTCTTCCCGTATTGTGTCCAAATAACAGTTCTAATTTTATTGGTTTCTGAAGACTGTTGTACAACAGTTATTCCTAAGACGCGGTATCGTATTTTTTAATGACAGTCCGGTAAAGCTAACGCGTTAGCTATTCCGTGCATCTTAAAACGCCTTACAATAAACGCCTTAAATAAACGAACGAACGAAATTTGGCTCCTAAATTTTCTTCATTAAATTTGAGAGTGAGACTTGAACCAAGGACTAGTGTTGCTGTTTCTAAATGAACGGGAACTTTAACATTCCGAATCACACACTGTACTCTGTAGCAGTGCGGAGAAATCTGCATGGCTTGTTTTTAATCTTTTATCAATTATATTGACAATAACATAAAAGCTATATCTATAATGTGCAGCTGGTAATTCAGAATTTAAAGGAAAAATAAAATTATACGGGTTTAATAAAAATACAACATGAAAATGATAGGATAAAATGATATTTAGACAATAAAATAATGTGTTGCGTTCTAACGTGTTCCTTGCGTTCACGGGTTAGCTGTAACTAAAACAAAAATAATCCATTGTTTTAGTCAGATTATCATATCTCATAAAATTAATAGTATTTTAATGTTTTTTATTTACTAAATAAAAATCAGATTGTTTATTTCCCCTGAAAAATAAATTTTAGTCTTTAAATCTCGTGTTCTGACCAGAGGACTGGCGTGTAGGGAGACTCGCCGCAATCACGCTCAGGGAATAGGACACACGTGTGTGGGGGCGAGCAATTGTTGAGTGTGCACTGTTTATACACCATGGGTCGACCTGGTAGGTAATCTAATATACGTTAATGACCACCTTCTTAATTATATAAACAAGTTGAAATAGGATCATGTTTGTTTATAGTCAGTAAGATCATTATAATGTGCATTTAGTTTGATTCTGGCCATGTGATGGGCAAAGCAAAACCACATGTGCTTTGGTAAAGGGTGTTTATTTGATGATTATTCAAAATAATTTGGTTACAAGTTCGCAGTGGTTCAATATGTATATACACAGTGCAGGTATACAAACAGTGGTCGGAATCTGTTTAACAAAGGAAGGCCCAAAACATAAGAACATAAGATAGCTTGTGTCTGTTGTTATTGTATTTGAATGGGTAAATATAGTTCAATATGTCAATGAACATGAACACGCCGAGGATAAAAAATAATATATTCAAAGTATTTATTTTTAAGGTAATGGTAATTTGTTTGAGTTTCATTTGGTCTATGGGTACATGCCTGAGAACATAACTTACGAGATAGTGTCAGCGTCATCCCAGAGAGGAAAAGATAAATTGGTAGACAGCCTTGGATATACTTACACAGTAAAGAGAGAAACAACTGCTGCTGTCCATTGGCGTTGCGTTGTCAGGAACAAGAAGAGGAACTGCCTAATGACAATTAGACAAGTAGGGGACACATACTTCAGGGGACATCATCTATTGCAATACATTAAAAATACATGGATAAATTCAGACATCTGGACCCCATCTTAAAAGGAGTGTCCGCACAAATAATGACTGTGAAGGGTGGCATAATCGCCTGAACTTGAAAGCAAGAAAAAGAACAACTTAACTTCTATCTGTTAATCAAGCTACTCCATAATGAAGCAAAACTAGTGACTCCAGGTGCGGCTCTTGTCCGACGGTAAAGTGCTACAAAAACATCAGGCCAAGTATGTAGTACATCACCAAGGATAGCTCTTCAAACTGTGGAACAAATTCAGTAGTGGACGAAGATCTGCCAAGAATTTGCTACGAGCGGTTTCACATGTGATTTTATCAGTAATGTTTGCACTTTTATGCTGCTTTTTATTATTTTTCTTTTGTACTTTTATCATTCATGCAAAAATAAATGTGTTCACTTTTAAGTCTGGGTTTGTTAACCCAAGTGGTTCGTGATGGTTATCCGAAATGGTCCGAGTTGGTATTTGATGGTCTGAGTTGGATATAGGCCAAATTGGACTGTATTCAGTAGTGTAATGCAACATTTATCTTATCTATCTTTACAAAATTGAAGGTAATTAGTATTTTAGATTAGTTTGGTTCATTTTACAAATGATAGATTAGATTATATAATACAGTATATTAGTTATATAATAATATCTGGTACTTCGAGAAATTCCTTGTCTCGCCAAATGTAAACAAGAACATTCATTACAAAATTACAATGTTTGTGTGGTTTTTGTTTGCACATCTTGCATGCCTGAACCAACAATTTGAGTAAATTTCAACATAGAAGGTAAATGTTCTTTTTAATTTGTTTCTCGTAATGTCAGTTGTACAATATTCCCCTCATGAATTTACAAAATCCATCTCTGCACAATTTTAGATTTTAGCAGGAGTGAGCCATGTCATTCCTACTAAGATCAGACAGTTAATTTGTGTTGTAAGGATGGCCCTGCCTTCTTTCTATTCCATTATTAATCTCTTTTCTCTCCAATTTCAATACATTAACTACAAGTCTATTTGAGTAATACATGTATACTGTATACAGGGGTATATGGAATGAACGGAGTCCCAATTACTGTACAGTACTGCTTATTTAGTGGAACTTGAGCTAGTAACTGCAATGTTGCTGTATACACAGACTGAAACTTAGATTTTTTTTTGTGAAAATATAATATTTGGGTAAAATCAAATACTGTACTGTACTGTATTTTACAAGCAGAACAGTTCAGCCTAAACAAACAATCTGTAAATATATTTTTAAATTCAATTAGCTTTGGTTAGGTAGCATAGTCTAACTTATTGTCTATGTCCTTGATGCTGCAGCTGCCCTGATGATAGTATACTCCATTACTGTACAGTACTGTCCTTGACAATTAGCTACAGTGTTATTGTTAATTCTGCTTTGTTTCAGACTTTTCTCCACGTGGAGGTGGAGGTGGCTTTCGTGGAGGTGGAGGTGGCTTTCGTGGAGGTAGAGGGGGTGACCGTGGTGGAGGTCGAGGCTTCTCACCTGGAGGTCGAGGAGGCAGGGGAGGATTTTCACCAGGTGGTCGTGGCGGATCAGGAGGTCGAGGTGGTGGCTTCCGTGGGCGTGGCGGCAGCGGTGGTCGTGGTGGACGAGGAGGAAGAGGTTTGTACAGCATTAATTGGTTTTGAAATTGTGAATCAGTAAAACTGCAGTTTCAGACAATACGTCCTAGATGTTGAGCAATGTATTTTTCCGATGCTTTAGACAATTTTAAGACGCTTCTTTGACGTTTCCGTTGCAAATGACCTAACTTAATCGGAGAGTTCTGCTCCCCTGGATCCCCTGGTGTATTTAAGTAATTTGGGAGGGAAACGGCATAGAAGAAAAGTGTCTTAAATTTGTCTAAGCCATTGGAAAAAACACATAGTCCAACTTGAGATCCACATTGTCCAAAACTGCTGTTACACAGGGTACCAGTGAATCCTTCTCACAAGATTGATTAATTCTTTAGTGTCATCTACTGTCACTGTATACCCTTGCACCTTCCCTGAGGGAACCTTGTCAACAAGATTATGAGGCTTTCCATTGATAAAGTACAGGTATATTTCAGTTTATTATTATTTTTATTATTAGTAGAATTATAAATAAACATTTGTTATTTGCTTGGTCCCCCACCTGATATTTATTTATACATGAACATAATCACATCTGTAATATAATATACTCACAAACATAAGGACATGTCTCAAAGACTTTAAAAAGAAAGATGCATTTTGTACTGGTTACTGGATCCATAATTCTCAAATGTACTGTATCTGCAGTTTGTCAAACATGATTCACACGCGCGCGCACACACACAACCATTGTAAAAAATTATCAACAACTCGTAATCAACCAGTGTGTATTCACTCCCAGCCAATCTTTTTGCACTGCCACTATGTTGAAATGCCCTGTAGTATGACCTCCCCACCTAGTTACTGTATAACATATATGTGTTATCCAGGTTGGATGTTAGTAATGCGCATGGACCGGACGGAATACCCCCTCGTGTTCTGAGGGAGTGTGCTGAACCCCTGGCCCCTGTGCTTGCTCGCCTCTTTTGCCTCTGCCTCAAAATCCAAATTTTTCCTTCTTGGAAGCATGCCTTGGTTCAGCCCATCCCAAAGAAGGGTGACCATTCTAATCCCTCTAACTATCGCCCCATTTCCCTAACTTCATCCCTCTCTAAGATTTTCGAAACTATCTTGAACTCCCATTTTCTCCGTCACCTTCAATGCCTTTCTCTTTTGTCGGATCACCAGTATGGCTTTCGCCAGGCGAGATCTACTGGTGATCTGCTCTCCTATTGCACCCATCTTTGGTCATCCTCTCTTAGGGATTGTGGGGAAACCTTTGTTGTGGCCCTCGACATCTCCAAAGCATTTGACAGGGTATGGCACAAGTCTTTGCTATCTAAACTTCCCTCTTGGTTTCTCTCCCCCACTTTGTTTTCTCATCTCTAGCTTCCTTGAGAACCAATCCATGGCAGTTGTTGTCGAGGGATAGATCTCTTGCTCTTTCTCTGCCAGTAGTGGTGTCCCACAGGGTTCTGTTCTTTCACCTACTCTCTTCCTTCTTTTTATCAATGATTTACTTCACACTACAACTAATTCTATCCATTGTTACGCTGATGATTCTACTCTTCACTCTTCTTCACATTTTCCCCTACAACTAATTCTATCCATTGTTACGCTGATGATTCTACTCTTCACTCTTCTTCACATTTTCCCCTTCCTCCTAACTCTCAAACTAGATCTGTTTCTAGAACTGATATCATTACTTCTATCAATGCGGATCTGTGCAGCATCTCTGAATGGGGAGGTACAACCTTGGTTAAGTTCAATAGTTATAAAACTCAATATTTACCCATTACACTTTGTAAATTAGACGATCTCCCACCAATTACATTTCAGGATGCTATCATCCTGCCAAATTCTGAAATAAATATGTTAGGCCTCACCATTTCCTCCAATATGTCCTGGAAGTCACACATTCTAAAGCTGTCTCCCGAAAGTTGGGAATGCTGTACAGATGCCGCAGCTACTTCACTCCTGAGCAGTTGCTCTAAGTATATAAGGGATTCATTCGTCTTAACTTGGAGTACTGCACTCATATCTGGGGTGGCTGTTCTTCTGTCCAACTGTTAGATAGGGTGGAATCAAAGGCATTTCGTCTTATTAACTCTCCTCCTTTAGTCGACAATCTCTCTTCCCTTTCTCTTCGCCGCAATGTTGCTTCACTCTCTTTTACAGGTACTTTAACGGGCAATGTTCGGTGGATTTGGCATCCTGTGCACCGCCGGCAAGGCCGTGGGCTCGTAACACACGTCTTGCCCGCGGTGCCCACCTTTTCTCTGTGGATGTCGGTCACTCGAGAATAACCCGTTATAGTACCTCCTTCTTTCCTCACACAGCCAAACTGTGGAATGCTCTGCCTTCTTCTGTGTTTCCATACTTTTACAATCTGTCTCACTTTAAAAAGCTGGTTTTCCAGCATCTTCGTGGTGTAGATTAACACAGTATAACCTTTTTCTTCTCTATTTTAAATTTCTTTGTTCTTTTTTTTTCGCCCCCCAGGCCCCGTTGTGGGTCGTTTGACCTGTGCCAGGGTGGGCTAATTCCCGTAAAAACGAAACAAAACATATATTTTTCTGTCAATCAAGTGACCCATTCCCCAATTGTATAACTATATTTTCAACCTTCCGACTGTCGTGCTTTCAATAAACTGTTAATTATTATTATTATTAATTATTACACACAAACCAAATTTGTTGAGTGTTCTGTTAACACCTGCTGTCTCATTTTGTAATTGAACATGACACATTTATTTTATTACATTCTTTTAGGCTAACAGAGTCCATTGTATGGTCATTATATTTGTTTATTTATTTTTCCAGGTGGTTTTAGGGGTGGAAGAAGTGTGATGCTTGAGCCCCATCGACATGAGGGCGTGTTCATTGCGCGAGGTAAAGAAGATGTATTGGTAACAAAGAATATGGTCCCTGGTGAAAGTGTTTATGGAGAGAAGAGAATTAGTGTTGAGGTGAGCATTATTATTGTACTGCACTTGCTGTCATTGCTGTATGGGAAGATCTGAATAAAACTTGGTTTCCAGATGCTCCTGTCTGGATTTTAATGATTGTAACATACTAAATAGGTCATTTAACTTATCAGTGAGTATTTGCTGGGATTTTCTCAACACTTAACTGGATTAGCTATGCTATCTTTATGATTTACAAAGAATAAAATATAAATTTGATCTTATCTCTTGGGGTCAATTAGTTACAGGTACATAGTTTTCATGCAGGTCATGACTCGGGCAACAAAATACTTAACCCAACAAAAAAAAAATGGCGTGCTAAGCTAAACTGTACATGGGGTTTAGTTTCGTGATTTATGGATTTTAAATAGAATTTTACAACATGACACCAGTTCAGATCATCACCATCATTTTATGGCCATTTTCCTTGCTTGCAGCAGGTAACTAGCAACCTCTGAATACAGAATGTGTATAGTGTATAGGCTTTTGAGAGTTCTCCCAATTGACCTCTTGGCCATGACAACTGTTGGTAACCCAAGGATCACCCTTGCAATAACGATCATTCAGAAGAACCTATTAGATTAGAGGTAATAGTTTAGAATAAAGAATAGGAGTGTGATGAGGTGGTGCTGCTCAACTCTTTTTCACCTCTGCACATATTACATTTCAAATGACAATATCATAAAACGAGTTTGTAGTAACCCCTTCAGTTCTTTGGGAAGTATGTATTCTTTCATTCCTGAGCAAACAGTAGGCAAATTTGATTGTGAAATTGGGTTTTATAGTATTCATTGATAGATGTCTTAAAGGCATTTGTTTTTTCTAATCACCAAACTAGATGCTTCCCAAGAGTGACATACTGGTTTAGACAGATAAATCTAGACAAGGGTAGGGTTTCCTTTCATCAGAGGACTGTGGGTAAGAGAGTCCGGTCTCTTCCCATTTGGGCAACCTTTAAGGATTGCTAGAATCGAGTTCATTTGAGCCAATGATATTGATATAGAAACAGTTTATTTAGCCAGAAAAATTCAGATACAGAGTGGATAATAATAACAATATTGACATGGCTGAGCCAATTGAGAACTAAAGCTAACATTTCCAAATTAGTGGTGTATGTTTTGCTTGTTACCCAGGAGAGTGTGTACACTCACTAAAAGATTATTCTACACCTTTGCGGGGTTATACATTATGAATACATCAGACCAAGAAATCTGATAACACTCATCATGACTTCTGTTGCAGCGATCGTTGCGGATGGTTTCAGAGCCAAGGGTGCAGAATATTTTTTTATTGAGTGTAGGCTTAGTATTTCACCATTTGCCAAGCTATGAAGGTTGTGTAGAAGCATCACACATTTCATGAAGGTACATACTGATAGTTCCTCACTAACCTGGTGGAAATCTATTTCCTGTTTCCCTTTTTTAAGGTTTTTCCCATTCCTTTTGTTTTGTAAGGTTTTTTTTAACTATTCTTCAGTCTTTAAAAAGTTGTAGGTTTCGTTTAATTGGGATGGGGTGTGTTAGTTGGTGCTGGAAGGGAAAGGAAATGTTTTAAGTTCTAGCTGGTTCTAGAAGGGAAAGTGTTTTGTATTTTCTAGAGACTCAAACAATTTTGAGGGGAATATGATATACTGTATAATTATATCTTTAAAGTTTCTTCTGAACTGAATTTGGATGTTGGTATAACCATTTTTTTCTCTCTCTCTCTCTCTCCAGGAAGGCACCGAGAAGATTGAGTATCGTGTGTGGAATCCTTTCCGTTCAAAGTTGGCTGCTGCCATTGTAGGTGGTGTAGCAAATATTTACATGGCCCCCGGTTCAAAGGTGCTGTACTTGGGAGCAGCAAATGGTACAACAGTTTCACATGTATCTGATGTAGTGGGACCAGTAAGTTGCCATTTTAATTTTCTTGAGCATTTTATACGGTACAGTATACAGTACTGTACTTCCCTGATAACCACCCAGATACAGGATGCACTTGAAAAAATGGAGATTTTATATAGTTTTTTAATTCTTTTGTTTTCATTATTTCACTCGAGACATTTGTTAGAAACATAGTACTGTACAGGTATTGCACTTGTATGTTGGAGGGTAGGAATAACTAGTCTTTTTATGGAAGCTTGTATCACACCACACTTAAATTTTTCCCATTCACCAAAGATTGCAAAGGCCTTTCAATTTTGTTCCCTTTTTCTTACAATACACATGTATAATATGTACTGTATTTACTTTTTTGTCCTTCAGCCCATTTTATGTGCATCCATTTTAAAAGAAGTTAAACTGGCATGTTGTGATACGACCATATGAGTTTATGCTATTTGTCTGGGTACTAATAATATTTTTATCCTGGGCACAAGTCGTAATTAATCATTTCAATGAAATTCAAGTGTGTTAAATACCAGATTTTGTGAATAGGTCAAATTTACTCAGAGGTACATAATATACAACAGTCCTCATGTTATTGTCATTGTTGATACAGGTTGTAGTGATTTTAAAGATGGTATCCCCTTCGATTGGAGTATAGAATGTGATATAGTGTATAAAAAATAATTCTGGAGATTAAATGTGCAGGATTTTCACTAAAGTTTAAGCAGACATCTTAAAGAAGATTTGAAGGCGTTGCATATTTAAGGTCATTAAACTAAATATGAGATTTGGGACTTGTGAAATATATTAAAATGTGTAGAGATTAAAAATGGTTTGGTTGATAATTTGAATTTTATCAAGTAAATTTATATAGATATCTTTTTCTGTATTTTATGTTTGCCCAAATTAAATTCTACGTACTTTTCCCACAACAAGGACGGAATAGTGTATGCAGTGGAGTTTTCTCATCGCTCAGGGCGTGACTTGGTAAATATGGCAAAGAAGCGCACCAATGTGGTCCCCATTGTTGAGGACGCCCGACATCCACACAAGTACCGCATGATTTGTAGTATGGTAGACTGCATCTTTGCTGATGTGGCCCAGCCTGATCAAGCCCGTATTGTTGCCATTAATGCTCAGCATTTCCTGAAAGTGGGAGGCCACTATGTTATATCCATCAAGGCTAATTGCATTGACTCAACTGCCCCAGCTGAAGCTGTGTTTGCTGGAGAAATCAAGAAGCTCCAGGGTGACCTTCTAAAACCCCAGGAACAGCTGACCCTAGAACCATATGAGCGAGACCATGCAGTAGTAGTGGGTGTTTACAGACCACCCAAGAAAAACAAATAGTTCTATCAGTGCTGGCTTTCTGTCAATTGGTTTTAAGATTTGATGTGCAGATACAATGAAAATGCCCCAAACAACTGAAATTATAAAAAAAATGGGTCCAAATCTAATAAATATTGTCATTGAGAATATCATCATCCATGTACTGTATTGTATTTAGATAGTTTCTCGAACTATAATATTTTTATCCTTACAATATCTATAAATTTTAGTGATTACGGCCTCACGGCATAGCTCTCCCATGTGGCAGGTGTGTGTTTACTAAAGTTGTATCTGTAGATACACTGTTAAACACACAACCATTATCTGCCTCAAATATGTCTTTCAGATGCATTAACTGAAAATAAATTTTAATTGTTTTATGCATTAGTTTTTCACAGTATGGTACTTCATTGTTTGTCTAAAATTATCCTCCTGATCACCATGATCACACACACAATTTTTTAAGAAAAACTGTGGCAAAACTAATTACTGAACTGCTCCTGTGTGCTACTGCATAGTTTGCAATGGTTTTAAAAAAAGATGGAGTTATTGATTTTGCTCATTGTAACCATATACTGTTCATGTTCTTGGCTTTTGCATAGTCTTACATCATTTGTAATACAGTACTGTACAGAGATAGTGGTTGTTGTCCAGTTGAAGGTATGATCTCCATCAGTCACAACTTTGTTCTATCCAGACTAGAAAACAATTGTTTAAAAAAAATTTAATGACTACAGATTTATCTAGTTTGTGTGCTTGTCTTTTTTGCTGTTGTCAAAGCTATGCAGTAAGACATGAATTGTTTTGTAATTATTTGGGTGTATTATGATATTTGTATATTATCATAGTGATAATAAATGTTTATTTCTATTTTAAAGTGTCAATTAATCATGCCAAATTATTTAGAAAACAAAAAAAATTCATTTACACATTGCAGTTCATTTTAAATCTGTCTAGTTTTGTCTCCTTATATATCAATATGTTTTTGTGGACTTTACTGAGTATCTGTACAGTTTGCAGTCTGAACAAAGGAAAAAGAAATAGAAAAATAAATTCATTACATTTTCAACTACGATTCATCTTTGTACCAACATGTACTGTACTGTTGCATATAAACATGTAAAGTATGCTGTCAAGACCAAGTAATTTGATTAATGTAAATGCTGATACCTGTGGTACAAAAATTTATTTTGGAGAAAAGAAATACTACCAAAGGGGAATTAGGGTCCTTATTAAAACACATAAAGGGTATTGCAAAAAGTCATGTATGCAATGTACAGACAAAGTCCCAGAGAACATCATTCCCCATTGGACAAAATATCAGGGATGTGAATTTTTTTTATTTTTTTTTTCTTCCAATCGTTTTGGACGGTCAATGTGAATCGCATAGATCCGTTGAGAAAAATTTATGAGGGGGGGGGGGGTTGTTATGACCATGGCGAGAAAAGTGTTTAACAAGAAATAATAATTGACGCTCTAGGGTAGATGAGTCTTCTGTGTGAGGACGATGAGCCAGTATACTGAGTATAGTGGCCACGTATTACATATTCATGCATTACATCATATTCTCTATTTCTCATCGGCTGAGTATTACTTGTTTTACATTCCATTCTTCGATTCTTTAGTATTTCATTGACCAAAGATCAATGGCGACATACAACGCCACTATTAGAAGCATAATATGCCCCTCCACCCACCCCTGTTGCCACTGGTAGGGAAGGGCTGAGCATTTTTCAATATAATATAAGTTTCTATTATCATTTTACACTTTTTGATATGCAATTTATTCTATAACCCATGCCATATTTCATAGTGTATAGGCAACTCAGTAGGGCATGTTTTTGTCGCCCCAGGAGGTCAGGGTTGTAGGGCATGTGTGTGTGTTCCCCCAGAGGGTCAGGGCTGTAGGACATGTGTTTGTTCTCCAGGGAGTTAGGGTTGTAGAACAAATCTTCCCCCCACCCCCCAAGGTCAGGGCTGTAGGGCATGTGTGTGTATCCCCCAGGGGGTCAGGGTAGCTAAGGATTTAGAAAAATTATATAGAACAAAAAATGCTGAAATTATATCAGGCAAGTGGAAAGTTGTTGAATGCTGTCAAAGAGTGAAGCATCCAGGAAGAAGGAAATGGTGTTAGATATTTACTGGATTCGATGATAGGGGAAGCGAGTGGGAGAGACCATGTTTTTTTAATAATGGGGGTGAATGAACATGATGCTTCACCGGAAGACAAACTACAAATATTAATGAATGGGTATGAAGAAGATTGTGTTTTATAAGAGAAAGTTAAAAGTGAATATGAATGTAAGCAGTGATGAAAATCAGTTGAGAAGGAAGACTAAATTAATTTTAACTTGAAGAGGGAGCCGAGTGTTTGCGTATATGGGAGTGGGTGGGTGTAAAAAATGAATCGAGTGATCCGTCACTGAGAAGCAGAACTGGGTAAAATATTACTCGGTAGGTGGATTGGATCTGGAGAGCGAGAACCTTATTCGAGTGAATTGTTTAACTGACCATTTTTTCACCACCACGCCCAGTTGGTCTGTTCTTTGTAATAGCCTTTATTGTATTAAGAATGGTAGTAGGGACAAAAATAATAATATTGTAAATATAGTAAATAATAATGATAATCATATTGACGACATAAACAATAACATTAATAGTACGACTACTACTGATAATTAATATAAACAAAGCGAGCGGTGCGACGTGCGGATAACCATTAACCACCCAGCAATGGGTGAGTCTGGACGTCGCCAAGCAACGACGTAAAGATCGCAGCCACGGGAAATTTCAAGGCGTTATGCAATTCTCACATCCCCTGAAACAAACAAGATCATACGGATAAACTCTTGGGTAAGTGGAGGCGGGCGGATGTGTGTTGGTGGTAGAGTGAGCCTAGTCAGCTAATGAGGGACGTGATCAGCAGCTGGTGTCTTGTCAGTTCATCACGACCCAGGTCAGCATAGGTGGCAGGAGACACCACACACTCCGTCTATGCTGGACTGGCTCTTGAGCATAATTGTGAACGAGAATAAAAATTACCAGATATTAAACGTGCCTGAGGAGAACGACAGACATTGGACTCCACGTATGCTTATAACTTGATCGACACCTCCCTCCATGTTAATACATTTATTTAGAAAACCTGGATGGTGCTGCTAACTACGAAGAACTCATTAGATTACTAGGTGTGTGGAAAAGCTAAACATCTGCACTACTTAACAGGACCGTAAACTCACGGTCTCGAGTAAAACAAACTACAACATTTTGACTGAGGTTTGCATGACTAGCTCAATAGGTTGAAAGTTTGCTTTTACTGTCACCGTTTCATAGATTTATAGGTAACTACTTACTTTTTAAAATATATTCTTTGGTCGTGCATGTATGTCTGATATGTAAGAGGCTTATAGGTATATTATATGTATTTCGCGAGCAGGAAATACAAAAATAATAGAAAAGACAAGTTGCGTTTACGTCGGCCCCGTACCATGCCATGAATAAATGAGTAAAAAAGATTTTGTCAAAACATTTGATTACTATTGTCTTAAAAATTTCAGTTTCCTATCTTAGAAAGTAAAAAAAAACTGATAAAGTAAGAAATTTACAATTATTAGTCCTGTTGAAATACCCTGTTTTCACTACATATGAGACATTCAGAGTAGACTAATCTTGTCAACTGCATTCAAACGAATTTGATTTCATTAAATATTAACATAGCGACGTGTTAGCTATGTAATCACACTTGTTCTGGCGCACGATGAGCTATGTACTGTAAGATGTTTACAAAATTTACTGTACTCTTGTAAGTAACTGCGAGGGTAAGATCATTAGTTTCTGAAATTTGTGGACTTAGAATTTTTGTACTGTACAGTTATGGCTTTCACCATGTCAGTCATATCATGCCTAATGTCAATTTTATTGTGTGAATTAATTCCAAGCGTATTATGTGATATTGTATTAAGTCACCTTACACTGACGAAGAATGCATAACAAACCACTTACAGTATTTACACCATGAAGATTACTCCACGTTGTCATAGCTGCTCGCATGCACTTAAATTAATCTTACTTAATCTATTAACCAAGTCAAACTCCGGTTTAGTTTATGAGAATATTTCACGTTTACAAAAATCAGGAAAAAAAATTCCATTCTGCATGAAGGAACACGAATAAAAGACATTATTTCTTATACATTTTCTCATACGTGAGGCATCGGCGAAAATATAAATATATTTGTATTTTCCCAATTTAATAATAATAATAATAATAATAATAATAACAATAAAAATGATAATAATAATAATTCTAGTGACGCCACAAAGCATCTTATTATCCACATAAAGGATGTGAATGTCATATAAAACAGGTACCCTTAACGTCGACCATATGGAAGTGACTACTTCTAACTGCCCCTAAACTGGTTCCCTGTTGTCATTAAGTACAGATATAATCACTGGTACTGCGATGGCTTTAAAGAGAAAATTACACTTCATGTCTTTATAATGTTTATATCAACCAGAACACGTTTAAATTTTATAGTTTTATTTCTGGGGTGTATTTTTTTTATATTTGTTACTTTGACTGCGCCTTATTGGTTAACAAATTACTCAATCTCCTAGTTCGCCAGCTGCTACATCCTGCACATTTCCTGCATATGGAAGGGAACAGAGAGCATTATTGGTTCACCCTAACTCCTCAAGCAGATCTTGAGCTCATAGTTTATAATAGAAACATTTCTCTTGCACACCATCGAAAATATAACAACAGTATCGACCACAGGACTGATGATAGATTGTGGAGATAAGATAAAAGGGGGGGGGGGGTAGTGGATGAGTGTGAGTGGCGACCACCAGGCGGGCAAGGCAGGGCAACCAACTTCACTCTTCACTGTTCAGTACGGGGTCAGGACACGGGGCACTAGAAGGCTCCTTCCCCCGCTCCGCGTATATCCAGTTTTCGCTAAATACTTGGTGACGCCGTAGATGCCCCACAATAACTCTGTCATATCCACTATGTTTGCTCCTACCGTGCCTGTAATTATATAAGCGAATGTAAGGTGGAATTTGCTTCTTGATGACTGATAACACTTTCATGGACTGCTGTCGGTCATCATCTCCACGTAACTGAAGTGCTACTGGGGTAAGTACAATACTGCAATAATGGAGTGCTTCAGCTCTCATTACTTCGAGATATTTACTTGATTAGAGCAATCATCTGGCACAATCAATTTAGTAGGTCCCTGGGTCCACATTTAACACTTAGCTTATTTCTGTGTTCCATCCCTATTGTGTTTATACAAATATTAACATACCATTACCCTGGTAATATTGGAGAGGCTTGCTGTGAAAAAACAATCAAGGACACATACTGTATATGTGTAAATTTTCCCTGAACTTTTATTTCAGGAACCAAAAGCCTATTATTGTAACTATATACTGTATTCGACTTTTCGTACTGCGTCAAAAGCTACCGTATTTCTGAAGTGAAAATATGCTTAGTGGCCTGTATGTTTGTAATTGATCAATAGTCGCATGTACTAATTATGTCCATTGTTTCATATTGGCACTCGATAGGGGATCAATACTTTATCTATGTGGGTCCACGACGGCGTAGGTTAACTTTGCCTTTGTTGCCCGACCAAAACGTTAATTAAAGACCTGAACGCTACCTTGGGCTAAGTTAGGATAGATTAGATTAAGTTAACATTAGGGCGTTTATTCATTAGGTTAGATTTGTACTTTTATACCATTGGTTCTTTTGACATTTTCTTCCTTACTGTCCTTGTCTTTTAAATAGGAATGAGATGACGTGCAAGCTCCTGGTAGCAATAAAACAATTGTAATTATAAGCCAAATTAATTTGCATAGATATATATATATATTCTTACTTCAAGAAAACTGTAAATACTCTTACTGTAAATAGTCTTACGGTGTTGGAAGTAACCCAACCTGACGACGGAACAAGACGATATCTTTGTTATATCACCGTACAGTTTATACGAAGCTTAGCGTCATACTTATTAGGCTTGTTAATATTTACGTACAGGTACTTAACACATTTGATTTAGTTATGTATATACAGTATCTCTGTAAGTAGTGAAAGTTTGTGGCGGCACCAAACACACACTTTAAAAGTTTATGATACAATATGTGTAACATTAGCTGTGATGGTAGATGTAAGGAAGAAATCAAAACAAGAATAGGGCAGTCAAAAACAGCATTTAATAATCTTAAAAGACCTAATGAAAACAGACATTAACTTCACTTTGAGAAAAAGGCTGTTGATATGGCAAGGACTATTGTCTGGGGCAGATGCGTGGACACTCAGCAGACACCAGGAAGAGGTTGGGGGCCTTTGAAATGTGGTGTTATAGGCGAATGCTAAGAATAAGCTACACTGACAGGAAAACAAATGAAGAAGTACTGAGATCAGCAAAAACTTCCAGAGAAATATACTTGTTATGCACAGAAAAAGAAAAAAAATGGGATACTTTGGTCATATAATTAGGGATGAGGGGATAATAACATAAATATTAATAGGCAAAGTTGAAGGTAGGAGGGCCAGGGAAGGCAGAGACTGGGATGGATGAATGAAAATAAAAACGGGGTCCCTAGAGAGATACAAAACCTTGGGAGAGTGGTAAAAACAGCCCGAGAACGTTTAGAGTGGTGGCTGAGGTCGCCAACCCTCAGATGTGAGGACGGTACTCTGATTTATATGTAAACCGCTGACAGTATTTTGCATGAATTGTTCGAGTATAATCGTATTATTGTACACCGCTCCCTCTCCCCCTTCCTCTTTTGTTTTCAAGTGTTTGTACGGGCGATGTCTCAAACACTTTTTGAACTAGGAGGCTGAAATTTGGACACAATAGTGACCAGTGTTTTGGCAACATTTATTCCCATCTGGTGGCGCGAAGTGCAGGGCAGTTTACTGTACATAAAGTGTACCACTATTTGTTTAATATTTTTTTTTGAGTTTAGTGTTGATTATTACATATACTGTACAGTGAATACTGTTTGTAAACTTTGTGGCCAACCCGACTTTCACACCCTCTCTCACTACATCCTCACTTGCCCTATGACCTCCTCCTACAGGTCCCCAGCTGTTACCAACACCTTCCCTCCCTGACCAGATATCCCTCCTCCTAGTGACAGACCTGGCACTTGACATTATTAGGGACCTGCCACGCTTTGCTATAAACAGATGAAATGTACCGGGAACTTTCCCCCCACACACTCATCATTCTCTCACTTTATGTAACTTGACAAAACCTATGACCCTTCAGGCTTTTACGCCCTTAATGTACGATTCATAAAGGCAAGTATGAACTTTGCATACTTCCCAGATGGGCGCTGTAAACGCTTCTGCGCTTCACCTTGCACAGGATGTAAGGGGGTGCCCAATAAACTAGCCCCCTCGGGGGCAAATCTGAATCTGTACAGTGAATCTTGACTGTAGCTCACTGGTAAAGAAGTCAGACTTCGACTAGTGAATTAAATGCTGTGGCAAATATAGGGGTATGGCAGTCAAGCCAGCAGTAAATAAATATTAATCTTTACAGTTACATAGTCAAGGCGGTGGAGTACAATTGCTGGCTAACTGCCTGCTTGTATACCAAAGGGGTGTTGGTGGTACAGCGGTAACGTGCAAATATCTTATCATTGTGTCCTGGATTTAATTCCCTGCTCTGGACAGAGGTGAGGATGTTATCCAGTGTGACCCAACCAAACATCACAGGTGTCCGCTGGTTACTCCGGTTTCTTCCTGTACTGTACTAACACTGGGCAATAAAGACAATAACAAGTAACCAAAAAGAAACCAACCAACCTCCCGAACGATTAGTAAACTGA